CACAAACGCGCAGTGTGTATATTACGGTCTGCAGTCACGGCATATTCAATCTTCGTTCGCTTATCGCCGAGATTCACTTCAACAAAATACTGCTAAAAAATTTGCGAGATTGTCAAGTCCGTCTCGAGTGTTTCAAGAAAAGTTCTTTCTCGCCCGATAATTCCACTTCTTACCTTAAAAACAATTTTTATTGGGCACCTGATAAAAAATCATATAATAATAATTTTGGTAATCATGCACGCATACGATGCTACAAGGTGTTTTGATTTGTACGTGTTTTTTATTTTTTTTCTGCATAAATTGCACAAATATTATGTTTCATATTTTGACAATCAAAACTAGCACATATCTGGTTTCGTTTCACACGATCCTATCAAGAGATCCTGTTTCTATTGTCGGTGAAACATATACACCGTCACGAGCCACACTATCGCAAATTCCAAACAGGAAACTTGCGTTTCTTAAACATGTTAAATTGATTTTTAATTACGCTGACTGTGCACGCATCATTTTAGCTTGGACTTTTGTGCCATAAATCTCTCAGGAAAATTTCTCAGCTCGAAATTATGTAATCGTGTAAGTATATATTCGAGCGTACGTTGTGCTTTTATGCGTGCACATAGAGAAAATCGCTGACGATTTTCTCGCTTATCCCACGTAGTAATGTAAAAAGAACATGCACATACAGGGTGTCTCAGTTGCCAAACGTAAAATTGACTAAATAACTTCATCAATTCCAAGCCAATTTAAATTAATATTTTAACAGTACTATTTTAATGGTAATACCTCTAAAATTATAAATTCATTTGTAGTAAAATCCATTTGTATTTAAATGGGCAATAAGCTTTGTTTAATTGCCTTCTCCATATGCAAGTATCTGGACATAAAAATGCTCTCGTTTTTATCGCTTTATAATTTAGAAATTGACGCTTCGACGTTTCATGTGACAGAAGATTGAAAAATCGATCAGAAATGCTTTTTAAATAAGATCTTTTCCAAGATATTTTTAATTAAAATTAAGAACACGTGAATTCAAGAACACTCTGTACATGTCTAGAAGCCTGAAGCCTTCACATAGAAGCGCGAGTAATCCGAGACTCTTGTGCAAGGTAACCGTTTAAACCGCTGACCGTAAACAGAGAAGCTCGGGAGAAAGGCTCGCAAGAGTCGGGAGGCACCCCGGGTTCTTGTAAGGGCGATAATTACGGGGCTGCTTTCGGTTTCTTCTCCCTCGGCCGATTTCTGTTACCCGAGTGCCTCTCGTCGGGACGAAAGGAGTAAACGCGAACAACGTGAACGTCGAGTACGCGATCACTTTACTCTTGGTACACTTACCTATCTGAAGCGGTTAGTGCAAGTAGAATACTATACGTTTTTAATAACTTTTTTTTATAGAAGAATTCTGTCGACACGTTAATCTAATTCACTAATATATTTTTTAAATAAGGTAGACAAAGTAAGCTCTAACCTAGCACATCCGATCTAAAATAGTGTATACAATTTTAGGTATAATTGAAGGATTTTATTTAATAAACTGATTAAAAATAAATTTTTTTAAATATTTCAGAATTACTTCATGTCTGAGAAAATTAATGTAAATTTTATATTTAGTTTCTAAAATAGATTAAATTATTCTTTCGGAATATAAAATACATATCACTCGTGCAATGTAGAAAATTAATTGCAAAGAGTGAATTTTTTAGAAATAGGAAATAAATAAAAGAAGGAGAATATTTAACTATTTCGAATTATGCAAATGATTCAGTGAAGCGAAAACAAAAATGTATGAGAAATGAGATTCCAAAGAAAAGTGAATAAAAAGGAAAGGTTGATAAGACGCTTTATTGATAATATTGATAGACTTTATCTTCTGTTACTCTATAAAATTTATTTAATCGCGTTTTGAGCTTGATTTCTGAGTTTCATTGTTTGAGACTTTACGTTTCGTCTTTGTTCGTCTAAAATTAACCGGTAACTTCGTGCAGCAAAGCGCTCTTCAGTCGGTTGAACGAACATATCGCGTTACTCGCTCAATGACAGAGTCAGCCGAGAGCAACTAGTGGCGCAGACTATGTAATCATCGCCGCAACGTGGTTTCAGTTTACTTCGGCCGTGCACGGCCGAATTACGGCCGCGGGCGTATTCGAAACACGACACGCCAATTACTATTATTGAGTCTAAGCGTCTAAGCGCACGCTCACGTGAGTTGTTTCAATTCTGTTTCAGACACATCGTACGAGAAGGCTTGTCGTAGGGGTAGCGCGCCCGCCACCCCCGTGCTCGGTGCGCGGCCTCTGGATGTCACCCCCAACAGGATTGTTGTAAGTAAATTTGATTGCATGCCCAGTTCGTTGACCGCGTCACTCAATAATGTCATAATCGACGAAACTATTTTTGTAACATTTTGCGTCAATTTGAATTATCATTTTTGGTATTGTATTTATAAATATTTATGACTGAGAAGAGCGATAAAAATATTGTAGCAAAATGTTGATTCTTAATTTGTCAATTTAGCCTCTTTAAAATATCACTAAATATTCGTATAATAATACATATCGCTAAATATTTATAATAATATCTTTTGTCATCAATTTTTGGATAGAAGATTCATATTTGGCACAAAATCTTCTCTATACCTGAAGAACTTGTTTTATTAAAATCAAGTATCTCTAAATATTAACAAAAAAAAACAGTTATATCAATTAAATAAAAAAAAAATTTCGTATGAAATCGAATTCGATTGCGTAACCTTTATCTGCGTTCCATTTGTCATACGTTTTAACATACAATATCCTCTCGTAAATTAAGACTGGGGGGTTAAGGGCCATTCTGTATGTATCACGGATCGCGGCCGCTCATGAATGAGAATTGATTCTCTCAGGATGAAAAGAGCTGGGATGAAGAAGAGCTTCCCCCCTCGGATAGCCGAGGACGTACATAGTTTACGTCGGCTCGTCGGCTAACTTAATGCCCGACGCGTTGAATATTCAAAAGACGCGACCGCCGAAATGCCCGTGTCCGTGGATTCGCACAGGCGCGAACACACACGATACGTTGTAATTAGTTCGTTATACCGTCGCGTACTCCGGGTACTCCGCATATAGACCGTCTCTCACCGCGACGACGACGGTACGGCCGCGGCGGGTTCAGCGATCTCATTTTCCAGGCGTTAACCGATCCGCGGCTATATTTAAACGCCGCCCCCGCCGCGCGCGCGCGAGGGGGAGTCGCCGGCGCTTTCGTCTGACAATTTCACGTTAATTTAATTTAATCGAACGGGGGGACGGGGCCACGCGTACGGTCCCGTCACGGTGATATATCTACCTGCCTCTCACCGTCGGATATTATCGGGCTGACAATCGACGTAATGATGGAGTGAGATTCGCGCCTAGCGCGGCGAATCGGATTTTCTCCAGCGGGAAACGTCCACGTGAATATCGCGGAGAGTCTGCACGATTACCAGCCGCGCGCGTTATCCATTCTGATCGTTATTGCGCGAGCGGAAGCGACCCGTCGCGCGAAACGTCTCGCGGTGATACGCCAATTTGTACGCTCACCGCACATTTAGCGCTAAATGCACCGTTCTAATTCCTACTTCATTAACGTGAAAGTGGCGATCAGCGTTTAAACCTGATGATCGTTAAATTACACGTGACGTTTTAGTTCTTATTTGTTTAACGTGAATGTAGTAAAATCGGTATTAAAGTATAATAATGTGATGTTAAACAAGTTATATCTTATAAGAAACATGATGAAAATATCGAGCGCAGTGGCTTCAAAGCCGAGTGTTACATCGTTCGCTTAATAAGGCAATAAACGGCCACCCTACAAACTTTTATAGCGTCAGATTTGCATTGAATCGAGTGAATGTCGTGATCACCAGATTTTACTGTTATAAGATATTTAACTCCTTTGATCCTTCCTTCACCCTTCCCTCCCAAACGGATGCCGCACAATCGCGCTTCTTTTTAACCCGAAGGGTCGCAGATTGCCATCGCACGAGAATACTTTTCCCATCAGCAGCGTCTTAGCGAGTGCATTAAACTTCGCGGATTAGATCTCCGCTAATCACGCGCGGGTTCTCTCGTGCAGATCGGCGCTTCGATGTTTTCTTGCGGCAACGGATCGAACGGAAGGTTTACTGAGTTTACTCTGTAACCACACTTCGGGATATATTGTCAGATTAACGTCCTTCTTCGGGAAAATGTTCTCGTGCCGATCGGCGAATCCCTCCCCTCCCCCTCTCCCGATAACGGAAGACGCATTGTCGCAACGCGTTCTATACCGTATATCTATGCATGTAACACTCGCATCCAAACTTTTGCTGCTTCTGCTTTCGAGCAGACGCCAGAAATCCCTATCTTGCTCCTCCATTTTTCATGCATGCTCTGCTCGCCGATCACGAAAGCAGGATTTCAATCTTCCGATCACGTATCTTCGATCTCACGGATCTTCCGAAGGAGTCGCTAACTAGCTGATGTCTTCTTTTTCGAAGGCGAAACAACATGTTGTAACTTTCGTATTTCAGAGGCATTTTATTTTTTCGCCGAGATTCATCGAACTTTTCTTTTAAATGTAAAATTCTTCGTAAATATTTCGAAAATATGCATGAAATATACGCGAGAGTAAATATTTTAGTACAATTCTAAATATTTTTGAGAATTATTCTGTAAAATTTTTTTTATAAATATCAACTTATCCGAATTGTTGTCCATATTATTGAGGACATATCGTATTTAGCTCGAGTGTGAAAACATGCAATAGTAGAAAATATCGATCCACAAACTTCGTACACGAGCAGGTGTTCTCAATTCCCACGTGCTAGATTAAGTCGCCGCGCGACCGTTTTCCCGCCAAATTTTTCTATGAATAAAACAAATAATATTTACAAGTCAAAGATATGTGTCATCCAATTCCGTCTCTATGATTAAAAAAACAATTTCTATGTGTGTTATAAAGTAACCTCTGTTAAAATGATTTTAAAAAATAAACTATTTAAGTTTCATTTTATAACGATTCCATCAAAAAATTAAACGTAAACTATTGATAGAAAAATAAAAAAATAGACATGTATCGTTCAGCTATCAGTTGAGTTTTTAAAAAAATATTTTTTTTTTTCAAAAACGCGCTATTTTTACGATGCTCGGTGCATGACGGCGGTTTATACATTTAGCGTTCGATCGCAAGGGGACTCGTAAGCTCGTTGGTGAAGGGTTTTAAAGGAACAAAAGGACGAACGGACTGGTTTCGGGGCAAGTCGTGACAACTACGCTGCTGTTTCCGGTTGAGGAACGTCGCAGGCTACCGTTTACGAAAGGAATTATTTAGCAGTTGTCCCCTGTACGCGGCTTAATAATCCGATTGCCATTCTGGATATCCGAATAAGACAAAAAGATGTCGAGAGAGTTAAAAGGCGTCAGTGACGAAAATTCTAATATATGTAAAAAAATCTTTCTCTAATTTGTAAAAGAGCTGATGCAGCTAGAGAATTAATTGAAGAAAATAAAAAACTTGATAAGAGCATAGAATTTTAAACAAACTTTAAATTAGAATCACGAATCTATCTTTTCCGATACTTATTTTAAATTGTCCTTAGCTTTGCTTATATCATACTTGAATTTTACAGAATATAACGGAAACGAGTAAATTTACGCGCGTTGCAAGTGTAACAAAGGAAACATTTGTGACGTTTCATTTGGCCGCTTATTACGTACGTGGGGCACGTTCCACGCGAGAGACCGATCCGCAGATGCAATCAGCGGACGCTGCATGTCGCAGTCTCCGATTTGAGAACCCCTCGAAGACGTTTTTGTCCTTACCGGTGCCGGGAACGGAGGAGCGCGTCCGTAGAAGAGAGAACTGCGAGGGGGAAACCGAGGGGTTTAGCCCGTTTTGCCTTACCTGAATGCAGGGGCAGAGTTTTCGGTCGCGACACAAAGGTGCGCGCCCCAAGGATCCCTTGACTTCGGCTACCCGGATGAGCTAACATCTGCGTCAGTCGAGATTTCGCCGCGAAATCGCGCGCACAGCTTCTTCGAAATCTCGCGGCGCACGAAATCGGCACATTCGCGTTCGAAGGATGATATCTTGTCAAACGGTGGTGGATAGAAACGTTATAATCGTCTCACTGTTTTCACATAAACAATATTTATTAATAGAGATTAATCGAAAAAATTATATCGGTCTGTGAACTGACAAATCTATCATTTCGCATAATGCAATTGGACTTAAATAATTTTCGTGTCATTTAAAAAAGAATTATTTGAATTTTGTTTGGAGTGTTTTTGTTGACATATGAAAAGCTGATGTATGTAATTACCTGTGCAACTGGTGTCAAAAAAATTGTAGGAAGACGAAAGTCTTTCAATCTAAAAATTTATTCAACTGTGATTTTGTGCCGAGTTATTACAAAAAATTAATTGTAACAGAAGTACCAGAGAATTTAAAAGGTTTTCTTCGAAAAGTTATTACTGATCCCTATCTTTCGTATAAAATATTTGTTTCTTGTAAACTTGAAAAGAAATTTTGTATGAAATTATCGCATTTTCGATAAATATTTTTGTGACAAATTATTCATATTAATTATTACCATTAAGATGTTTCTGTCGCCTTTCGATTGAACACACAAACACGTAATAAGTTGATAAAAACTTAACTCGAAATCTATAGAAAACTATAGGAATCTATAGGATATTCTCATGTCAATTCTCATTAAGCTTTTTGTAAAACTCGTTTCTCGTTTCTCGAAATCTCGACAACAATCTTTAAAATCTCAGATTTATAAAAAATTTGAGAAAATAATAATAATATGGTGACTTAAAAAAACTGTACAAAAAAATTGTTAGAATAATTTAAAAAATTAATAATTTTTTGCAGTGTTATTTGAATTATAAACTACAATTTTTAAAAATAATTACAACTATAATTAAAATTTAATGTAAAAAGTATATACCTAATTTTGCAAATTAAAACAATCTAAATAATTATTGATCTCAATACCAGTAAAAACTTTTTAAAGAAATTATATATATGTGATAAGAATACAGAATTAAAATATATCTTTTATAATAGGTATATTTTTAATATCTGTTTTGATCGATACAAAGCGATGTAAAAAATCAATTGGCACATCCTTGTTTCGACTAAATATGTCATTCTTAATTTAAAAAGAAAAAAGTATGCTACATTCTCACGCGCGAATAACGAAAGTCCGTTCATTCATAGCCGACACAAGCGCATTCCATGACTTTGTCATCACGCCGTGGCGAAAGAGACAAAATGCACTCACGTAATGCACCGATCGGTCATTATCCTCGCTAATGCAAGACGCTGTTCGTCAGCTAAGTCCATGAAATCCAATACGATGCATCACGGGCAAGAAGTGCCCGACCGAGCACGGTGAGTCGCGGAAGTATTCAGACGATCGTCGCGCGCGAAGAACCGTACGGTCGCTTGCAACCATTTAAAGGGCCTTTCGATTTAAATGGTTGCACCAGTCGGAATCGGTTACCGGGTTTTGCCGGGTTTCGATAGGATCGAAAATCGAAAGGTGTGTACAGCGCCTCAGATATATACGTTAAAGATGCCGCTTTTAAAGCTGCAGGAGTGCACCTGAGCACGGGACCGAAGGAACTTGGCTCGTACTGTTCATTCATTTGTCAGTTAACAGCTGCCTGAAGAATGTCTCCGGAATGCAGTAACGCTATTGTGTGAAACATAAAACTCGCATTGTCCGAAATGAAAATCCTTTCTCACAGTGCTGTCTCGTGCTCACGAGAGTAACATCTGTGGATTCTGCACTGCCAGCGAGACACTGAAGACACAGAGAATGTGGAATATTTCGTAGACAAGAAAAAAATTAATTGGATACATGAAAGTATTTGTTGTCATGATCTCGAGAATTTTTTTACAAGCGGATGATTCATCGCACAGTTCCAGTTGCCCGCGAGAGAGAGATCCTCGGAGAATCCAGTGAATAACTCATTGAAGAATGTTAAATTGTGAGGAATGCGTCATAATGAAATTTGTGCGCGCTGGCCAGAAGACATTTCATAGTTAAAACTTGCCGAACGGATATTTTATATACGAAGAATAAAATCCCAAAAAAGGGAGTACTTGAGAATTTCCACCAGGATTTTCTTCCAGCGGAACTAAAATCCGTGACGTGTGATCGCGCGCGATTAAATTGCATCCTGACATTGGGCCAGCCTTATCTCACATACATACACACGTGCACGTGCACGATAACGCGGTACTTTACCGTGATGATAATACCGCTCCGACGGTCATTTTTGACCTGATAACGGACAGCGCATAAAGTGAAAAAACATTGCACGAGGCAGCAACGCGCCTGATTTCGAGTGACCAGCGAATCGTAATTAGTTGTTCTTTGGCACGCTGCTTGCGTAAAGGAATTCTTTGAGATCATTGTGTCCAAAATTGTGAAAATTACTGAAAATAAATGCATTTGGAGGACAATCTGTTCCAAGTAAGTTTACAGCCATCCAAAAATAAGTCTCGCAACGTTAGCACGTCGAACATGAGCAGTTATATTTTACGGTCGTTTTTAAGCCGTAGTAAATCTGCGCTTCTGTTCTGGAAAAGTATTGCGGAAGTAAGATAATATTTAGGTAGTAATAGGCAATAATATATTAATATAATTGAGCAAAAAAAAGATACATAATGTTAACTGTTACGATAATACTGCAATATAAATATAAGCCAATAGATAATAAAAATACTATACTAATATCGTTTAATTTAATAAACAATCTTCAGATTTTAGGATTATCGACTATCAAATGGCAGATTATGTGAAATATGTTTCGCGATGAAATACTTTTAATATCCTGGAATAATTTATATGACGCGCCGCCTCATTTCGCGATGTAAAAAAATGCTGTAAAATTTAATAAAAGTGCTCATAAACATTTGCCCGGCCTTTCTCGTGCACGGCTGAATTTGCTCGAAACCGCGCGAATGGTGAGAAGAAAAATGTGCGTCAAGCCAATGGAGGAGAACGAAGACGACAAAGTTGTCAGCATGATCGTCAACTATTTTAGTACGAGGGTAAATATCGCGAATGGCCATCGCGAAGAACTGAGATTTCTACAAATATTCGCAAAGTTCATTCAGAGAGTGCCGAATTCTTTATTAATAAACTCTTATCTCTCTTGTCTATAAATCAATCGTTTTTGTCGTTTTTTCTTCAAAATGCTTCTCTCGTTTTTTATGTCGCTTCCACAATTTCTTCAAATTTTGGAAACAATTCCGAAACGTTTTCTTCAAGATCGCGTGTAATATTTGACAGCGAATTTTCTCGAATCTTCTTACTCACGATCAAATCTTTGCATTCTGACGAACATGCAACGAGTGATTACAAGGGTCTCGTTTTTTTTTTTTGCAAAGAAATCACGAAACAATGTGGGGGAGCGTTGCAGTGGAGCGTTCAGTTTTCTTCGAATCAGACTGTTCTCTTTTTCTTACAAATCCTTAGCAAAACTTTCTGGCACTTTGAAATAACATTATTGAAAGTCTGTGTAAGGTATAGAAATCCATGGTAGGCAACGTCTTTACAATGAAAACAAATCTTATTCGAACAAGTTTGGCGTGTTTTTTTAAGTCTTGTAGATTTACGCTCGACTGATGCAATAAAATATTTTTAATGTACTTTTCTTTCTGTTCTGAAAGTCTTTTTTGTACACAACTGAAAATAATATTCGATTTAAAATAAAATAAGATACACATGCACATACATCCTGTTGAGAAAATTCGATATTTAAAAATTATTGCATCAAAAAAGTATCGCATATATATTTTTTATATTAAGTAAGGCACACTGACACATACGGATATTACGTGACAGAGGAGAGGAGAGAAAAAAGATCCTCACCATATCGTGCTACTTACTATCGATGTGCGGTCACGGATTGCTTTTAAGGTTTGAGAGTTCTCAGATATACTTTTCGTATTTTTTATCGTTTAAAAATATATTCAAAAATAGTGTTCTGTTAAATTAAATACATCTTTCATTTTTATTAAATATGTTAAACGAAAGCAAGAGAGTGGCAAGAAGAATGTCATTTATACTGTTCATATGTTTTTTGTTACGGTATTGGTCGTATTGTCAAACAATACTAGAAAGTTTTCTTTTGTTCTTTCTATTATACATTTGGAAGTTAACCTTTTCCTAATGGCAACCAGCCAAATTTTTCTTTAGTGGTATGAAACAAGTACAGCAAACTCACAAGCCCGGAAATAAAATAATGCATTTTTTTCCGGTGATAAACCATCTACGAAATAAGAGACAAGAAAATATCGAGTGTCGTATTTAAATGTAGATGTACATGAATTTATGTAGAGAAGAAAAACTCAAGACAGAATTACAAGTTCTTTTTAGGCTAAATAATATGAAATTTATGCGTATTTTATATAAAATTATTATATTTACAAAATATAATAGTTATTAAAAAACAAATATATCAAAATTTACATTTCTTTTGCTGTATATATTAACATATAATTTCATTAAAAATTATAATTTTATATTATATTTTTATTTATATATTTATTTTTATTACAATTTTATATTATAATCTCATGTACAATTTCAACTGCGTGCTATGTCATTGAAAATGTATAATTTATATACATACAGTTACAGTTTTCCAGCGAAATACTCACGAATTGTGGGCCGCGTATTGAATCCTGTACACGACTCTTAACCGATATCGTCTTTTCTCGTTTACAGAACTTCTTCTCGAAGCGGTCGTTCCGGTCGAACCCTCTGAAGAGGACGAAGAGCGTAACGAAGCTCGAGCGGCAGAAGCAACGGGGCGCCGGCCTCCGGGGATGCCGATCGCACGAGTCTCTGCTGTGCGGTCAGGCGGTGACCTCGATGGACCTGGCGGCGGTGACGCCGCTGCATCCGAGCCTCCTCGGCAGGCCCCATTGCTTCCAGGTCACACCGAGCACCGGCGGGCCCAAGTATTTCAGCTGCAGAACCGCTCACGAACGGGACCAGTGGTTGCACAGGTCGGTTGGACCGGGTTACGCATCGCTTTTTTATTTACCGTCCCGCCGCGCCGTCGGGATTAAACCACTCGTTTTATTTACATCATGCGAGAACGACGTTCTTGATCATCGCGAAACCGAGTACCGTACGCGACGCTCTAGATTTACCGCGCAGTTTCTCAGCTACGAAATCCTTGATAGATACGACACTTGACTTAAATTATGCAAAGTTGAAGTTTCTCATCTCGGTAATACTACAAGCGGATCGAGAGTCAAGGGAATATACATATGCAAACTAGAACATTATCATAAATATGTTACTTTCAATGGTTACGCTACAATATCTGATATTGTAGTGATTTCGAAAGAGAAGTGTAACAATCCTCGAGTAAATTTAAATTTTAAATCATTACTCGATCTTCATTCGATCCAATTATCCACGTAATTCGTATATAGGTATGCGTACGAGCTTTCTATTTTATTGTGTGCGCAGCTTAAGGAAATCCGTTCAGCCGGATGCGGAACAGACTCGCCGAACGGACAATTCCCTGCAGATCTGGCTACTGGAGGCGAAGGGCGTGCCCGCGAAGAAGCGATATTTTTGTGAGGTCTGCCTCGACAGCACCTTGTACGCGCGTACGACTGCCAAGCTGAAGGCCGACTTGTGCTTCTGGGGCGAGCATTTCGATTTCCATCATTTGCCTTCTGTCAACACCATCCAGGTGAACCTGTACAGGGAAGCGGACAGAAAAAAGAAGAGAGACAAAAATGTATTAATCGGTAAGCACTCGATTACGGAGAAATAATATTTTTTAAATATTTTCAAGTGACTTTTATATAATCAAACTTTTTTATTACATTATTCGTACATTATAGCTATATATAGGAAAGTTTTAAACTATATATAGCGATAAATTTAAAATATGATATATGTAGTGTACTAATGATACGCGAATTCAAAATTATACGACGCGAATTACTGTAATTAATTATAATGTGACACAACTGCCACGTGCACATAATGATATTCCGATTGTCCTTTCCAGGTTCTGTCAGTATACCAGTGCACAATGTGACGTCGCGCTACTTGACGGAGAAATGGTACCCTGTAGTAGGTGACAAGGGACCACTCAAAGAGCCGCCTGCGCTAAGAGTAAAGTGCCGTTTCCAGTCAGTTGACATATTGCCGGTTCAGGTGTATCAAGAGTTTCTGGAGTATCTGAAAACCGATTACGCGTCGCTATGCGAAAAATTGGAACCCGTCATCGGCGTCAAGGCGAAGGAGGATATCGCGACTGCCTTGGTGGCGGTGATGCAACGGGAGAAAAAAGCGCCGCAATTCCTCGCTGATCTCGTCATGATGGACATTCATCGAATAGGTAAGTCCTTAGCATACAATCTTTTCTTAACGCATAAAATTATTAAAATTCCTAGCTTTTTTTCAAACATGATTGTTGTTTAAAATTCATAACTCTTTATTTATTTTCAATGTATTAATTTATAAATTACAATTCAGTTTGTATTTGTTCGTTAATATTTCAGACGATGAGAGACTCACTTTTCGAGGGAATTCCTTAGCCACAAAGGCGATGGAAGCTTACTTGAAATTGACCGGGGACAGATATCTACAGGAGACCCTGGGAGCCGTTGTGAGAGGCGCAGTCGAAGGCGGCGACTGCGAAGTTGATCCACTCAAGGTCGCCTCTGTCGCCGCGCTGCACAAACAACAGCAGAATCTTCGCAACGCCGTAGAACTGGCCTGGAGCAGAATATTGTCGAGCCACGCTCATTTTCCGCTAGAATTACGCGAGTGCTTCCGCATTTTCCGCGAGCGTCTGGCCGATCTGGGCCGCGAGGACATCGCCGACAATCTCATCTCCGCATCGATCTTTCTAAGATTCCTCTGCCCCGCCATTCTCAGTCCGTCTCTCTTCAACATTACACACGGTAAGTCGAAGCATAATTATCTCAATTGATTTTCAATTAGTATGGCTTATTAATTATTAACGCGTCTTATATAGATAATAACATCCTACATTACAATACGGAAAACATTACATGCACGAATGCACACTTAATGCATAAAGAAAAATCCTTATAAATACAAAATAATTTCTACTTTAGAATATCCGAATGAGAAAGCGGCAAGAAATCTCACTCTGGTCGCGAAGACACTTCAAACACTGGCGAACTTTACGAGATTCCAGGGCAAGGAAAACTTCATGGAATTTATGAATGATGTACTCGAACGCGAGGCTCCGTCCATGAAAAATTTCTTGCAGCTAATTAGCGTAAGTGTCTTATGATATTTTATTTCATATTTTAATTTCCGATCAATTTGTATCACTTTAATTAGAATAGGAATTAAGGAAAAAAAACGTTACATAAAAATTGTTACAATTAAAACTGTATATCTATATACATATAATTACACTTGTAACAAATATATTCAATTATAAGATAAGTAATATATAATTTTTCTATTCAACAGAGTCCACTGCCAAAGGATGCACCAACTAATAACTCGCTCGAGTTTGATGGCTACATAGATCTGGGCAAGCAATTGTCTCTGCTACACGCTCTCTTGCGAGAAAGTATGGCAGCGATAGCGCCATCCTCGCCATCGATGCCACCGTCGCGATTACCCGAGATCCTCGATAGGATTTCTGTGGCTTTGGATCAACCGGGTCCGAGCCCCGTACCCACCGCGCATCGTTATCCGAATCTACAGAACAATATTTTCCGCTACAACGATCCGACGATCGCCAACAGCAACACGAATCTCTCCATCTCAGCCACGTCGACGCTGAGCAATCATAGCACGATAAACGGCACGATCAGAGACAGCAACGAGGTGCTGCAAACCAACACTCTAGGTCACAACAGTTCGCGCAGTCCGAACGTCGCCAGAGCGGCGACCTTACCGCGAAACGCTTACATGCCAACGAACGGCAAGCTGCAGCTGCAAATCAACTCCGACGATTATCCATTGGAGCCGCCGGCGTTCGTGTCACGCTCGCCGACACCGATCACGCGGCAACACAGGCCGCTCGGTCCCAATCGATCCGGACCGGGTTACAGACTGACAGCCAGCGCGAGCCTGGCGAACGTCAATCACTGCCAGACTCATCCGACAAGCCCCACGCGGTCCGAGAGTCACAACAATCTGAAGGACTCCAATTACAACATCACCACGTCGCCTCAAAGCATCCAGTCGAGTAACGGCAGTATTATTTCGCAGCAGCAACAGCAGCAGCAGCAGCAGCAGCAGCATCGGCACAATATCGCGCGCATGCAAAGTCTCGATATTCACGATCGCGAGGATAATTTCAATCACAACAATTACAATGTCTCGAGATCGGCCAGTCGGAACCATTGTCACAAGGAAGAGAACGCTAATCAGACCCAACAGCGCAACTACAACAACGTCTCGAAGACCACAGTGAATGCCAACGTGGTCGTCAATCCGCCTACGAATCTCACGCTGTCAATCAATCATCAGCCCAACAATAATTACAACACCAAGGCAAACAACGCGTCCGCCAACGGCAATCTTGATGAGCTGTCCGACTTATTGAGATACGCGGACGACGAAGTGTCGGAATCCAAGTCACAGAAGGGCTCGCAGATCTCCATATCGCAACTGAGCAACGTGGCTTCCTCGGGCTATCAGAGCTTCGCCGCTTACAGTCAGAGCTCCAGCCCGGTGGATCTCAGCAGCAACAATGCGAACGCGCACATTCTCAGTACGGCGCCGCTGGCATTCGCCAATCCCGTTTATCATATGGAGTCGAATCACGCGAGGACAGGCAGACGAGGCAGCAGTAGTTCCGAGGAGAGAGACGGTAGCGGCGGCGGTGGCGTCGACAGTGTAAGAGGCGTCGATCTGAGTCCCTCGCCACCGCCCAAGAACAACGTGCGAAATCACCAGAGGAACGGCCAGAATCAATGGCGACAGGGCAATCAGACTCACAGAAACAACTCGGAGCTCACGCAGGACGTTTGCTGCACGAAGCTCCGAAGGAGACTCTCCCTCGATTCTACAAGGGATCTGTCGGACACCAGTGAGGAAGAGAACTGCACCACCAGGAGAAGCAAGTCTCGCAGTCATCGAAATATCGATCAGGTGAGTTGATGAAAGATAATTGCAATTGATTTTACGCACTATGAGTAATTAATAAGGCGACACCTTCTTAAATTAAATTAATGATCTTGAACGTGGAAAAATCAGTAACTCTTCTATTCTTCAAAATCTGTATAAATTGAATTGTAAATAACAGATTCTTTACTTTGCTGTGAATCTATTGATAAATACTGATCGTATAAATAATTATAATTTTCTTAATCTGTCGTTTAACGAATATTTCTCTGTACAAACGTTCTTTCTACCTATCTTGTAACTAACACATTTCTTCGTTTCCAGTACGAAGTGGATCTATATGAGGTGGAGAGGCTACAGAATAGCGTAGATCGGCTGCGATTGCGCGCGCGATTAGGCGCCACCGAGGATGCCGATTTAGATCTCGCGTCCGACACCAATATGAAGAGCATCATTTCCAGGTACTTCATCCTCATTTCCGCGCTAGCGTCGCTAATCCGTTACCGGATCTTTGCCTGAGTGTGAACCCTGATACCACCGTGATCATTATCACTGTCTTTGCGTTTTTCACTTCGACGTCTCGCCACGTTCAGCCACTCGATTTTCCATATCCTCATTTCTCGACTTGTCGTGAGATTCATTGAAGTCTCCATAAAGAAATTTTACAGTCATATTAGAATGGTTCATTCGAATTTGACAACTTTCGTTCAACGTTATGCCGCGTAAAAAAATACAGTTTTACGGAATTTACAAGTTCTATAAATTCGGATTGAATTTCAATGTTATTGATAATAAATAACGCGATTTTAGACACTAGCTTTAAAATTATTGTCTATTTTGTGTATACTGATACGAGATGAACGTCGTCTAATCGCGTGTACCACTTTTTCTATGTCTAACGGAACTAATGGGGAAACACTCACCCGTATATGAAAACGGCTACTTTATCGAAAACGATGTATGTTTAACTGATTGTGTGTTCCTGTGCATTCTATCCGCTGCATTTGGTATACTCTGGCTTGATCTGGACCTTTGGTGTAAGAGTCAATTATATTTCTAAGCTTTTCTTACATTTTTACATTCACATGTTAGGCTTAATTCTTATTCGTGTTCTGTCTTTTGGTTTTTCGAAAATTCGCAAACTCGGGACGAAAACTCGTGTTCGCCGTTTTGACATTACCGATCACGAAACGTCATTCTTAACAATTTCTCATCGAAATTAACGCTCACACGACATCACACATTTCAACACATTCGTTCTGGATCTTTCATATGCACGGATATTCAGTGACTTTCGATAATTTAATCATCTGTGTGTCGCAAAGAAAGAAATGTCCGGGTACGATATTTCTTAAATGGATGCAGTTGTATCCAACTTGTGGACAAGTCTTCACTATGTGGACATTTCTTTTTTCTCTCTTTCATTATACATACATATATACATACTCGCTATGCGATACAGAGCAAATATATATTCTCTGGGAAGACCTTATAATCCAGTTATCCTTCTCCAAGAGTATATTAAATTACGCACCAAAACACTGTGGCTTCTTGACAGCTTTATTTTTATCTCTCGATGTTTCAATAATTGTGCATCGTGGTGTGCTTGGTTCTTTTACAACTTCACTATAACGTCTCTCGGTTTCAAAAGACGGCCTTTCCAATAAACTGAATATCTTTTCCAAAGTAAAAATGAATGCAAATTGAATGGCAGAGAAGCTCGAGAGAGTTAATAGGCGGAGCTCAATTCCACGTGCTTGATTCCTCGACGCTCTTTATTCTTCGCGTCTAACGCAATCTCATTCGAAATAATCGTTTCGGCATTTTCAAATAGGCTCACGAAGAGTAAAGATCGTTTTAAGGAATACTTCCGATGAGCTGTAGCTGTTTTTTATCAAACATTTTGCTCTCTTTCTCGCGCAACCACACATTCAGCCCCGATTTAATGTTCCTTTTTTTGCCCGCAGGTTAATCTCTGTGGAGGAGGAGCTACGTCGTGAACAGCAGAAGATGTCGGCGGCGTTGTCGTACAAGCAGCGCGTGATCGACGCGCAGGAACAGCAAATAGCTGCCCTGGGTGCCGCGAATTCGCGTCTCATGTCGACAAACGCGAGCCTGCTTTCGGCGCTGAGCAAGCAACGCTACAACGCCAAATCCCAGGTCAACAGTGAAGCCGCGCCCCTGCTGCAGAACATCGCCGATATCGGCGAGCTTAAAAGCTCGTCGTGTTAAGCGCGTGTCGAGAGAATCGAGAAAACGAGATCTTCGACCGGAGAAAATGTTTTTTTAATTTTTTTTTTTAAAGAAGCCTCGTGCTGCAATACGCATCGTAAACGGTGTTATCAATGACGACGTTCATCTTCTCTGAATAATGACCTTGTAGCAACTTTACGAGGTAGTCGATTTATTGCAGGAGAGATAATAATTCCGAAAGGGATTAATCACATTTGGTCAATCCAATTCCTGTATGAATTAACGTCGTTATTCGAGAGAAGAGAAAGCTTATTCGGAGAAGCGCGAGGAGCGCATGGGTCTTCCTTGGTTGCGATTCGTTGCATGAACTCCACGAGTCGTTCGATCGACGCTCGTTACCTCCCGATCCCGAGATCACGCTCGAAGGAAAAAAAAATTTTTTTAACGTGCACAACGCGAGTAGATGGACCCGGTGTCGACCTGGACTCGCGAAACTCGAGGATGCGGAGCATCGTGCTGGAAAACAATAGATTGCGAGACACAAGAGAGAACGGCGTGCGAGAAATAGAGGCTATTTAGTGAATAGGCAGACCGAGATAAGTAGACAACTTTCGTCGAGTTTATATAATGTGACATAGCGTTAGGCTAGGTTTATTTGTACGCGAGTAAGAAAGAAAATCCGCGACTCGTTCAAGATCCGATCACGGAAATTGTCCTGATTGCTTGAACGACGATCGACTCGCGATACCGTTGACCAGTGAAATAAATATTCGCGACCGCCAGTCTCTCCCGACGGCGACTTTGCTTCGTTCGGCACGAACGAAACGAAAGTGGCAACGAGACTAAATTTTGATTTTATACAAATTGAGGATCCTCGATCAGCAGCTCGAAAAGCGAATCGGTTGCGTTTTTATTGATCCAGTACGAATTATTTCGAACGTGTCTACTTAATTAGCGAGCGCATAAATAGAAATTAAACTTTATTGAATCGAATATTTGGTACGAATGTAAAGTATGAGCCGAAAATCGTTAAAAAGCGTAGCTTTACTTCATTTGTATTTATATGAATCATCTTGAAACATTCAGAATGATCCCGAGTTTTATCTGACTTTGATTTACTGTGCGACTGAAGATTGGATGGCATCGAGTAGTTTGCATTGCTTGCGCGACGAAAGATACGATTCCAAATTGGATCATCCAATTAAGGATCGCTTCGTGCGGCAGCGGACGGTACACGAAGAAGCCCCGATCGACGAATATCGCGCGTATATATTTCCCTTGTTTCTACTATCGTATTTATGCACAGCCGCACGCACCGCAACAGTTTAAAAATAGTATATCTGCCGGGAGTATGATATTCCGCGCCACACCACGACATAGGAGCATCCTCGAGCACCGGATCGTACTGCAGGACCTCGTATTACATATACACACATTTATATATATATAGGCGCGTCTATTTTTCTAGTTTGTTCCCACGAGTGCACGGTCACTCACTCTCTCCGGCCGTAAAAACGCCGACTTTCATTTTTGCGTGCGAATTTTTCGATCGCGAAGCCTGCGTTACGTTTCCTTTTACAAAACGAATGAATTTGGCCGAACAGCTCGCGCAATTTTTTTGTGACCATCGAGTATCGAGTGAGAAACGGAACAAGCTTCCACGACCAAAAAAGGACAAGGGAGTCCGTCGAGCGTAGAAGCGCGAGCGGACTCCCAAAGCGACGTTTCGCGCCCGTCTTCGAACTTTTGTTCTTCTTTTTTTTTTATCTCGACGAACCGCGAGCAAAATCGCGACTACCTTTGGTTTCAGCACGATCCTTTATTCTAAGCGACGATATTTATTTAGTAGTGTCTACCAAAGATGAAGAATTTCGCATTGTAAAGAGAGTATTGAGATTTATGTAAGATATTTGGTTCTCTTCTTTTTTTTTGTACTTTCGCCGTTCCCGACGAAGGCGATAATAGTTATCGTCATGCCCACGGTAAGCGACGCAATCGGGAACGGTACTCTCGAGCTCGAGAAAAGAAAAACGGTATGCACGGCACGTGACGAAATTCGGAAACTATTTTCTCTGCTCGATATTTGCCCGAAGCAAATTTTTTTTTGCACACCGAGCCGTGCACGGATTATCCGTAACTTTACACGCGCGTAAAAGTAGCGCACCTAACGCATGACAATTAATTATTAATTAATTAGATTTCTCGAAGGTCTCGCTCGTTCGCAAAGCGTTAATGTGTTACGTTTTACATCACAATAACAATTATTACTGCAGCCATTGTCGTATAAACGCGTGTGAAAGACTGAGTGAGAGAAGGCGAGCGAGAGAACGGGAGTGTACGGGGGAGAGAAAGAAAGCGAGTGAATGGGAGAATGAAAGAGTGTGAGTCCGCGCGTGGGAGGGAGCGTGTGAGAAAAGATTATAACCAGTCTAATCTCGCTAAGGAAAAAAAAAGTATTATCTCGTCAACTTTGTACCATAGTGTTATTCACGCCTGTCCGAGCGTTTTTGAGGCCTCTTGCCTCTGACGCCAATTACTTTTGTATAGAAATTACCCTCATCCTCCTTTCTTTCTCTCGTCCCCTGTCATTTCTTTTTATACTTTCCCCTCTTCCGTATACCCCACGGAAAAACCACAGCCTTTGCGTTCGCGGGAAACCGCCCCCTTAGAAAACCACTCTTTCTTCGACTTGTCGAATATTTACATCTGATAAAATTAATATATTAACGCTATCCCCCCTTTCTTCTTGGACGATGTAATCAATTAAATATCTATTTAAAGAATCACTTAAATAGCGTGTACATTATTAAGTTTTTGGTATATTTGTTTCTGCAATAGACCACCTGTATTTAAGCATATAGACTATTACACTACATGAACAAATAAATACGATTAGACATATTATAAACGTGCTCGCTTTTTTCTGGTTTATCCAGCTTCATTCAATCATTACCAATTGCGGCAACAGATTAATTTTGATGTTACGTTAATCAGTATTAAAAAAAAACGAAGCAGTTCCATTACAATTTACTATACAATAACATTATTTTTTTTACAAACAAAACTAGGTGAGTATTCAAAAACTTTTTTGCAATTACAATTCGCAAATATATCAATTCGAATTTTGACGAAAAAATTGCTTAATATTATATAAATTTTTTATTTAGTAAAGTCTTTATAATATAAAATAAAGATACGTAAAATATTTAACATATTACGTCTACTTGCATTAAATCTATTATAATCTGTTATAAATGATATAATACTATAATTTATAATAAATATTGCTATATTGTTTATGCATTTTGCGCCAATTGTAAATGTTATTAAATAATTAGATTCATATAAATTATCATTCAATGTAGTACATTTGTGGTTTACGGTATCTATAATGTAGTTGCCGATAGCAATAGAATAAGATCGCAAAATTGACCTCTTATATTTAATTAATTATATTCTTAATCAGTTATTATTTTAATCAATATTCAATCAAATTCAGACTTAAATGAAATAAATCAAATAAATAGGAATAAAGCCAATGTAAAATCGACACAGGATGAAAGTGTATTTAAAATAAATATTATATAAATACAGTAAATGTTTCGGCTCCTGTTTGAGCCCTCCTCAATACAATGTGCATAAACGGAAAGGCCATTAAATATTTTAGTTACATTAATTAGTTTCGCAGAGAATAAGGTGCAGCCAATTATCAGTTGTCTAAATCAAAAACATCATTGCTTTTTAAGTGTTTGGAAAAACGCTTAAGTAATCAAGTCAAACAGCAATAAATTTGTTTGATAATCACAAGTTCACTGTAATTCAAATGTTACATGTTTCAAGGTTTGTCACTTTATCAAAGTATCTTTAACAGCATTTTATCTCTGTTTGACTTCACTAAGCGCTTTTCCAACACTTAAAAAGCGATAAAGTTTTTTATTTGGACTGATAATTGATTGTGCCTCATTCTCTGCGAAACTAATTAATAACGTAACTGAAATATTTAATAATCTTTCCGTTTATGCACATTGTACTGAAGAGGGCTCAAACAGAAGCCGAAATGTAATTTATTGTATTTATATAATGTATATTTTTAAACGTTCATTCTGTGTCGGCTTACATTGCCGTTATCTCTATTTATTTATTTTAATCAGTTTGAATATTATAAATTTTTTTAATTAATTTAATAAAAATACAAGTATGTATACACAATCATCTCAAAAAATATAAAATACATATTTTTATATCTAATTACAATATATATGAAATCTTTCTTATCGCAGAATTTATTTGCCATCCTATGATAAATATATTTCTATGCAAGAACAATGTCAACTCGCGCGATAAAACTAATTCAAAAATAAGTTTTCAGTGTGATACGCCTAATTATTTAAAAAATTCTGATTATGCATAATTTCAGGATTGGAAAAATGTATATAATTTATATTGATATTGAAATGTATTATCTTAAAATTCCGGTTTAATATTTCGCTTTTTTCTGGCGTACACAAGATGGAGCCATAAGTCCGTTACAAGCCTCGAAGTTAAGATTAACATGACAATTTAAATTAAATTAATCATTAGTTAAAGTTACATCATAATTTATTTAGTTTTTCAATTCTCAGATAAATTTTTTTTCACCGGCAATTAAGTGTCAATTTTTGCCGAAATTTTGCTAAACAAAATATCGCACGTGTGTACAGCAACAATATCAAGTACATATTAAAATTGCTCATTCAAATAAGTAAATCTCAATTCCTAGTAGCAACAACTCAAGCTACTATGTTGGCTCAATTTTTTACAGGACCTCGTGGGAAAAGAACGCTCAATCACGAGCATGTATACTAATCGCATTAACCGGTAATCCTCTCAGATGCTTATCACCGTGCAGTCAGCGCTCGCGATATGCCCGTGTAAACAGGCGGTCGACGAGCGATCATTGCCAGCCAATCAATCTAATCGAGATGAGCCTCAATAACGGTCGCCCTCGAAAAATCAATAATACGCAAGCCCTCCGGCGTGCGAGCGCGAACGACGACGCCACGCGCGGTATTTCCAAGGTAGCCCCGGCGAATGAACGAACGGGGGAAATCTTCTCTGAAACGTTCGGATCTTTTCTCTCTACCCGGCGCTTTCGCATTTAGCTACACTGGACTGGTTTTTTTTTTCAGTGCTAAGTTGGCACAGAACTAACTAATTCTTAGCACGCGTTTAAATACGAAATGCGAACGTTCACTCCTCCGCGAGATCCTCACATCTTGCTCCTCCTCACAACTGGTATTTTCGGATACAAATCGGTAACATTTTTCTATCGAGCAAAGAAGAATCCGAGTGAAACACGAGCTGTTGACCGAGTAAAGATACTCGCCACGAATCCGCGTAGTAAGTACATTGTTCGACACACGCGATTAATATTGACGAGATTCGAAATAACAATTTGACGTTGCTTAAAACCGAATATGATACATCCAGTCTGAGATAATTAGAAGATCAATTTACGGAGTAACAATCGGATATGCTGTTGAAATTGAACGATTGGTATTTTTTAAGAACGGAAAATGAATTAACACGTATATATAAAGAATACATCTAAAAATTTGTAAAAATAAATATAAAATCGATTAGTCGAAAAGACTACTTACATTATTCAATCAATCATACATGTTCAAAAAATCACGGCATAAGTGTCTATTTCCGTAAAAGAAATTTATCTGAAAATCCTTCAAGAGCATAATACAATTACTAGTGTTAGAAAGTATATTTAATAGTTTTTGACAACGCCTTGATTATTGAACGTCCATCATTTCGAAAACATATCACTGAGCCATTCGAATAGAATAATTTGTCTTTCTTTATAATATTTATTTTTTACAAATTCATACAAGACATTCTTTTTGCTTTACAGATACTAATAAAAATAACAGATTTCTTATAGTATTTTTGATTTATTTTATTTAATTTATTCATTACAAAAATAAAATTATTTAATCTCTTAATAACTTCGCGATTATCATCCTGTGTATTGTCATTATTCGCGCGATAATTCCATTGTTATTAATGAAGGATTACGGGATAAAGACTATATCTGGCCGTATAAATTCCGAAAATATACTCGGCGACGATGCTTATGTTATGCCGAGCGCCGTAAACACGTTATCTCCGTTCATTGGCTTATTACGTAAGTCGCATAATTGGATTTATTGAACCGCAAATTGTACGAAAGTCAGAAAATTGGAGCTATTCGCATGTATTGCATATCAACCCGATGAGTCTGAGAGATAGTATCAAAGGGAAATATTTGCGGGTAATATTCACAGAGAACGGAGCTGCAAGAACGATGACGTAGAGAAATGGCAATGGCGATTAACGCGTGCAGCATTGTAGAGTCGTAACGCAACATTATAAGGTAGGCGAGATGTTTAGTCACTGATATCAAGGACTCCCGACTGCTTGAGTCGCAATAATACATATTAATGCTCGCGCGTACCTAATTTTAGATATCTGCGACCGAGTAACACTCACCATAATATCTGATGCAACCTTAACGTTGCCAGAAGGTGGCTGCGAAACAAAAAATTCGCTCGCTATTCTGGCTCCCGTCGACAAATCAATTCTTTTCCGCGTCTTTTATACAAACCAAAGTTTTAATTGTACTCTTCCAAATATATATAAAACAAAAAAAGAATGTTTAATATTTTCTGTATCAAATTTTTAATCGAGATATTAAACGTAGTATTAAAACATAAAAACGTAATGTCGATTCTCTACAGTAATGATTTTACAATTCCACACGTCCATTTATTGACGATAAAAAAAAAATTTCTTCCGATCCGTCTTTCCCTGGAGTCATTTTAATCTTTCACTTTTAAAAGTTTTGGTGTCTCAAGATAATTCACTCCGGCAATGTAACCACATGTCGAGCGTTAAATCTATTGCCTTCTCGGTTTCGCCAATACGCGCGGGATTTACGGGAACGCCATCGACTCGCCACCGATTTTATCGCTCTCCGCACCAGCGGGAGCATCCGCGTACGAGGAATAATTTCTGCTCCATTTATGAAACATAAGCGCGGGGACTCGAGAGCGATTTCTACTATGGGCATCCTTGCTGTAAACCTGTTGAATAAGCACGGCCGCTGTAATGGAAATACGCGTGTGTATGCGATACGTGTAAAAATAAATGCCTGGAAATAAAAGGCCTGCGACGAGATAATAGCACACGTTACAAATAGCGATCGTAGCTGCGGCACGCTGATTTACGATGATCCCACGAGTGTTTCCTTGAATATTTGAACAGCTTGAAATTAGAACTTGTAAATTACATTACTGGCACTTGTATCAAAGTCTAAAAATAGTGGCAATTATTGTAGACATGTATATATTAAATTCTGTCGTTTATAAAATAAAAACTCGTCAAACACGTCAACTCGTTTCTAAAAACTGTGGGAAGCTTGTTAAAAATCGCGCGAATTTTTAGACTCCAAAGTTAGCAACTTTTCAGATCATATATTTTTTAGACAATTTTCAGGATGAGTCCGGTATTCCTCGTAAAATTTTCATAATCGGTTCGATTATTCGCGAGTCCATGAGAGAAGAGCGTATCCTCGTTCGCAGTTACGTATGGCATGCTGAATGTAAACAAAAGTGAACTTGGCAGTGTCGATAATGTAATTCCAGCCGGGGGTCGTTGCAGTTCGAACGGCTCGAGGAAGAAAAAGTATGCCGCGCGAGGAGAGACGGTACGAGAAGAGAGAGAGAGAGAGAGAAAGAGAGAAATCGAACGCAGAAAACAGAAAGATTGTAGTAGCTTCGAGATGCACCCACTCCTTCTTGCGAGCGTTAGTTAAACAACGTTGACTGATTTACGTTCACATGTCACTGTCCTTTTGCCTGTCGATCTTCCCTGTTCTTC